GAATACTGGGGTGGTGTGGGTTGGTGGATTCTATTTGCCACTGAGACCACCTCAGTGTCTGAGTTATTGAAGGGTTCTTAAGAGGAGATAAAAGCCTTTTCGGTCCATTGTGTCCCTTCATTAGGTGTTGAATGAATGAATGAGGAAAGAAAAAAAAGAAGAGAATGAATTCAGTTTATGCATTCCCACTCATATCCCCCTCTACTCCTCATACCCCATTTAGAAAATTGTTTTTGTTTAAGTAATAACAGCTGCACTTATTGTCAAATGCCTTTTTGTCAACTCGGAATAATCTCAAAAATTGCTTTACCCACAACTCTCCAGCTTCCCATTTTTCCTCTCTCCAATCTATTCTCCACTCAGTTGCCGAATTGGAATTCCTAAAACACAGGTCTGAAGCTGTCGACCCCCTGCTCAAACATCTCTGGTGGCTCCCTATTGCCTTTAGGACGAAATAGAAATTTCTCAGCCTAACTCTCCATAGTCTGGCTTCCACTTCATTTACTATTACTCTCTTTCACACACTTAACATCCCTGCCAAAATGGCCTACTAGCTGCTCATGTACTCAATATTACATCTCCCTCTTCACACTTTTGCACAAGTGTTGTTGTTGTTCGATGGCATCCAACTCTTTGTGATCCCATTTGGGATTTTCTTGGCAAAGACACTGGAGTGGTTTACCATTTCTTTCTCCAGCTCATTTTACAGATGGGGAAACTGAGGCAAACACAGTTAAGTGCCTTGCGCAGGGTCACACAGCTAATAAATGTCTGAGGTCAGATTTGAACTCAGGTTTTCCTGACTCCAGGCCTGGTGCTCTATTCACTGTGCCACCTAGCTGACCCTTTTGTACATGTAGTACCCTCACAGCACAGAATACATTCTCCCCTAACCTCAACCCAGGGGTATACTGGCACCAGCTCTAACACAGCCAATGTTAAGTTTCAGCTTGAGCATTTACACCTTGGAAATCAGCAAATGATATAAATCAAGGAGTGATTTATTCTTAATGTTGATCATCTAGACTCAAGAAAGTGATGAGAAAATATTAATAATGCAGATTAAATTTTAAAATGTATCAGGCTTACACTCCCCATGCCTACCCTCCCAAAGCCAGTTGTTAAACATTTACCAGCACACACCTTTTTCAACCTCTTAGACTCCCTAGTGTCCTTCCTGGCTCAGCCCTGAGGTTACCTCCTACACCAAGCCCTTTCCTGACCAGTATTTAGTGAGCTCCTCTTGAAATTAACGTGCACATATCTTACACATATTTGCTTGTATATTCCTATTTCCCCAGTACTATATAAGCTCCCTGAGGGCAGTGAGTGGTACATTTGTCCTCATCTCCCTAGGACCTAGCACACAACTCTTAGCACTTAGTACTTACTATAAATAAACGTCGAGTTGAGCTCTTCATTTTCTTCTCTCCTTCATCTTTCTACACCCTTCATAGTGAGGGAATGGAGAAAACACTGGACCTGGAATCCGTATCTCTAGATTTGAGTCTGGGCTGAGCTACTTGGGAGGGGGGTAGGACTCAGGCTAGCAATGGAAGCCATGAGCCTTTCTCCTGCCTCCTCTAAAGTTTTCCTCTATTTCACTGCTTTGATCCAGCCTTTATCAGTTCCTATCTGAATCACCTCACACCTGCATCTCTTTCTTCTCTCTTCACTTCATGTTAATAAATGTAAAACTTTCAGGATCAGTGCCCAGGGCATAGGGACTAAGGCATTTTAATCTAGAATTAAAAATTGATGGCAATTGATGGTGGATTGCTTAGTGGCGACACTCGTGTATGGTGTAGTGGAAAGAGCATTGCGGTTGGAGTCAGAAGACCTCATTTCAAGTTTGGGTTCCACCAGTATTTGATTAAGTCATATATCCATTCTGAGCCTTAGTTTCCTCATCTATGAAACATGGATCATAATCCTAAAACTGACCCCCTTCCAGGGCTGTTATGAAGATCAGATAAGATCATACAGTAAAATACTTTGTAACTATAATTTACTACAAAACTGTGACTATTCCCCTGAATGAACATACCCTGAGTTGAGCTGAGCTGGAGTGCTGGGCTCATCTATCTAGCTAATGAATGCACCCACAGTAATTGAAAAAAACACCCTAAGCTTCAGTCTCTCTCCCCTCCCACCAACTCCTTCAGGATTTGCCCCCCATAAAGGGGCCAGGATCTTACTGTGATGTTTTAAGATAGGAAGTGGCTGGGCTCCCCAACAGCTGCACTTTGGTTGCCTTAGGCAAGAGTGGAGAGTGGTTGTATTGTCCCTCACCTTTGTTCCAAACCCTACCCTCTGATTAGAAGGATTTTCATCTCTATTCCCTACCTCCTTCTCACCAGTCCTAGGACCATCAATACCAGTTGGTCTCTGACTATTTCTGGCTGATAAGGCACTGCCAGGATCCTTTGAAATCATTGAATCTAGTCCCCTCATTTTACAAAGGAGGAAATTAAGGCTTAGACAGTGAGGGTGGGGGCAGGGGTGCAACAGATTAAGACTGTGACTCTGAAGATATATAGTTTCCAATCCTATCTGGCTTGGCCTCTATTTGAAAGTCTAACAGACAGAAAGGTGGCCTTGGAGACAGAAGACCTGAGTTCAATTCCCCCTTCTCTAACACGTATAAGCTGTGTGGCCTTGGGCAAGTCATTTAACTTCTCAGTGTTCTGGGCAACTCTTTAAACTATAGGTTGCAGGACAGCCAGGTGGCACAGTGGGTAGAGCACTGGCCCTGGAATCAGAAGGACCCGAGTTCAAATAGGGCCTCAGACTCTAGATCCTGGGCAAGTCACTTGATCCCAATTGCATCTGCAAAACTACAGATTGCAGAGAAGATGCCAATTGTACTGGTAGAGAGCATCTCCTCCCTATACCAATGAAGTCTGAAATCTAGTCTCTATCTCTACAGTGCCCTGGTAGCAGAGTCAGGGTTAAAACCCAGATCTCTTAACTCCCCCAGTCCAGCAATGTCTCTCCCCCCCCCCCCATTCTGTGATATAAGGTGTTCACCTTTTCCTCTCCCAGCCTCCCCAGGCTAGACCTAGAAATGAGGCTATGGTGATGGATTCTCTCTACTGGCTCCCTGGAGGAGCCTGCCTGATAACTGGATGAAACCCAGCTCAGCGGAGTCCCAGTGGGTGTCCTGGTGTAATCAAGTCTGCTCAGCCGCAGTGAGAGTGAGAGCACACTGCAGCCCTGCTCAGCTGTCTCCGGCCCCAAGCCTAGGTGAGCATGCAGCTGTCTGGGCAGGTTCCAAACCTGCCCAGCCAGTTTCTGCTCGGGGACAGCTATGCCCCTCTGCCCTGCTTACCGCCCCCACCTGGGGGGGTTGGGGGCCTGCGGGAAGGAAGAAAAGCAAAGCCGTTGGTACTTTCTCACAAGCTGGAAGGAGGAGGAGATAGCCTGGGATTTGGCCAAATACACCCCAGAGGCTGGATATCAAGCTGACTAGAGAGGTGTTATTCATCCATCTTTGAGGTTTAGGTGATGTTTCTTCTTATCCAGGGGAGGTTGGCTCCCTCACTTGGGTCTGGTCAAATCTGAATTAAACCTGGGTTCTAGAGACTCAGAGTCAGGAGGGGCTGGGTTTGAAATCCAGCTGTCACCTACTCTATGTGCAGCCTTAGTAATAACAACAACAATAACAATAATGTGCTTTATGGTCCGCAAAGCATTTTACATAATCTCATTTGATCCTCACAACACTGTGATGTAAGTGCTATTGTTATCCACATTTTACAAATGAGGAATTTCACTCTGACTGTGGTTAGATGACTTGCCCAGGGTCATACAGTTAGTAAGCATCTGAGGCAGGTTTTAAATTCGGGTCTTCTGGACTCAAAATTCAACCCCCTCCCCGGTACCACCTGGCTTGCCTCAGGCAAGTTATTATTCAGTCTCTCCTGGCTTCAGTTCCCTCCTCTTCAAAATGAGGACGGTTTGGCCAGATGAACTCTAAGGTCCCTTCCTGGCTCTAACATTCTGCCACTCTGGGGTGTTCCTAGCCAATACTCATCTTGGCTTTGAGTTGGTGTCATCTCCTTGAGCCAAGAACTGCTTGCCGCCTTAGATCTGTTTCCTGCAGGTTCCTAAACTTGAGTTCTGATCCATTACGCTATCTGAAGATCATGGGACTGTCTTAGAGCAGAAGGGGACCTTAAGAGTTATCTAGCACAATCTTCTCATTTTACAGGTTAGGAAACCGAGGTTAAAGAAGTAAGTAGCTGAGACAGAATTAGAACCCAGGTTCTCTGACTCCAGCTCCAACAGCCCTCTCTCCACATAGGAACCTGGGAAGTTATCTAGTCGAATCCCCTGCTTGGACGGAGGAAGAAACCGAGGCCCAGAGAGAACCGACTCGTTTGAGTGGCAGAGCTGGGATTCTGTACTAGGTCTTCTGATTTCTTTCTTCTGCATCCCGGTGGTGCAGGGGCCCGATTTGCAGAGAGACGGAACACTCTGTCTATCTGCCCCGAGCGTCTGGGTTTGGGGGCCCCTGGGGGGTCTGTTTAGGAGTCACTCCATCTAGGGCCCTGTCTGAGGGCCTCCGTCATAGAGGCATGGGCTGCCAGCTCTCTGTCTCCACCCTAACCCTTCCATGCCGGACTCCTCGGTGCAGCCCAGACCCCTGAGAAGGACACTGGGGTCACCCTCCCTTCCGCTTCTCGGGACCTTGACCGTGGGGCGGCTGCTAGGTCAGTACAGCCCCACTCCCTGCATCTTTCCCTCCCGGTCCCCCACCCTTCCCGGCCTGGGCCGTAGGTCCACCCGTGCCGGGGCTGGGCAGGCGGCTGCCCGGCCGGGGCGGGGCGGGGCGCCCGCGAGAAGCCCCTCCCCGGGGGCGGGCGGGCCGGGCTGGGGGCGGGCAGCGGGGGTGTCCCTCCCCGCCTCGCTCCCCGGTAAAGTCTCGCGGTGCTGCTGGGCTCAGCCCCGTCTCCTCCTCCTGCTCCCTCTCGGCCGGGCGGCGGTGACTGTGCACGGAGATCGGAGCGGGCAGCGCAGCCGTGCCCGCCCCGCCAGCATGGCCACCACCGCCCCCTGCACCCGCTTCACCGACGACTACCAGCTCTACGAAGAGCTCGGCAAGTACGGCTCGGACTCCCCCCGCCCCCGGTCGCTCCTGCGGCTCCTCCCCCCGCCCCCCGGCCCTGCACCGGCCCCGCTGCAGCCCGGCCGGTGCGGCGCCCCTTCCCCGCCAGGCGCCCCCGCCCCCGGCCCCTCCCCAGCCAGCTCCGGCCCCTGCAGCCAGACCGGAGCCTCCTGCTGCATCCGGTTGGACGGACGAGCCCCGGCTGACTGCAGCCCCCCGGTCGCTCCCGGGCTCCCCCAGCCACGCCCCCGGCCCGCTCCGGCCCCGCAGGCTCTCCGACCTTGGTCACACCCTATGCGAGCCCGGACCCCGCGGCCCGATCCACAGCCGGTGCCCGGGGTCTGGGGGCTGCTCGGGTGCCTGGCCCCGCCCCCGTCTGGGGGCTAGTGCAGCCTCTTCCCGGATCCCGACCCCGCTGCTGGGCGCTGCTGCAGCCCCCCCTTCTTCCCCCCCACCTCCCTGCAGTGGTCCCGGGAGCCGCGCGCCGCAGCCGCAGCATCCCCCTCCCCTCCGCACGGCACCGAGCAGCCTCCGGCCGCTGCTGCCGCCGCCGCCGCCGCCACCACCGCTGCTGCTGCAGCCCCAGACTCTCCTCCCCGCCCCCCCCAACCCGGACACTGCAGCCCCCGCCCTGCCCCCCATCCTGTTCACGCACGGGCGAGGGGAGCTGGGTATCGAAAGCTGGAGGGCTTTCTCGGGGGTGGGGAGGGGAGTGGAGGCCGGGAGGGGAAAGGGAGAAGGAAGGGAGAGACTTTGCAACCCTGCCCTTGACAGCTGGGGCCCCTGCCTCACTTGTGAGGAGGGCTCGCCTTCCCTTTCCCTGCTGCTAGCTTGGACTGAGATGCTGTTCTTTTTGTGGGATGTGGTGGGACCCTCAGGGTCTGACGGTCCGTGGGCCTCTGTCTCCTCTCCTGATGCTAGAGCTTTATTCCTCCCATGGATGAGGGAGATGGTGTCTTCTTTAGGGAGTTCTACCTCCCAAATTTCCTATGGTTCTCAACTATGACTCCTATGAGTAGGAAAGGGTACCTTTGCCCCTCACTCGTCACTTCTCCTCCCCTGGAATGCAGGGTAGCTCTGAATGCATCAGGTGTGTGTTAGGAACATTTTCCACCAATCCCACACCTGTAAGCCTGAAGTCTTGAGTTGTTTCTTTGCCCCAGGGTCAGATAAAGGGACAGGGTGGAGGGAAATCTTTTTTTTTTTTTAATTATAGGTCTAAGTCATACTGCTTTTTGTCGTGAATGCTTAGGTGGGAGTGCCATTGGGTGGGTGGGTGGGGGGGTCAAGGAAGAGTCTGTCAACCTATTCTCGGGTTAGGGGAGTCACTGTCAGGAGTGAATGACTGTGGTTGTAGGTGGGGGTCATTCTGATGTAGAATCTGGGCACGGAGAGCATTCATGTTGTTGTGAGATCAGGTCTAAGTATTTGTCACTCTGCTCCAGTCTTTGTCCCACTACTTGCTCTCCTCTCTTTCCAGGGGCGCTTTCTCTGTGGTCCGAAGGTGTGTCAAGAAAACCTCCACTCAGGAGTATGCAGCAAAAATCATTAACACCAAGAAGCTATCAGCCCGAGGTGAGTGTGTATGGATGAAAACCCCTTGAAGGCAGGTATTCCTGCACTTCTGTCTTTCCATCCCAGCACAGTGCCAGGCACATAGTAGGTCCCTAATAAATACTTGTTACTTGATTAATCTTGATCTTTATCCCCTGAAAGAGTGGGGCATTTGGATGGTGGAGCAGAAGTTGGTGACGGTAGGAGGTGATTATTGGAACTTGGAATAGAAGTCTTTCTGGGGAACTGATTCAGAAAGCTCCTCTGTCTAGGCAGGAGAGGCCCAGGAGCCTTTGGGATGGACGAAGAAATGAAGAAGTGGTGGTTGTTCTCACAGGGGTGACTGGTGCAGCTGAAGGTTCTGGCAAGTGGGAATTTTGGTCCCTGAAGGGGGAGAAAAGGCGGCATTAACTCCACGATTTGCTGGAGAAATGTAGTTTCACGTAGCACAAAGCCAGCATTCCCTAATTTGGTGAATGTGAGGAAAGGTCCCACTTGATATGGATTGTTGGAGTCAAAGAGCTGTCCTATCCACACATTATCCTCCCCCTCCCACTGCAGTAAATGAGCAGCCTGGATAGTTGCTTGCCTCCCCCTGCCCACCAGGCAGCCAAATGGACTCCCAAGGGGAAGAAAATCTGTAAACATCAGGGGAGGCTGGTATTGGCGAGGACTCTTCGGGAACAAATTCTGCCACATGAACTGGATTGCTTTTTTTTTTGATCAAATTACCAAGTTAGTGATGCAGCCGAAGATGCAATCTCTCCTGGGCAGAGGTTGGCTGCCTCTTGTACAGGAGAAAGAGAGAAGGCACCTGATGGCAGTAGGTCAGAGGGGCTGCAGCTCTCTGCAGGGGGCCTGACTTCAAAGGCTGACTGTGGAGACTTTCTCAAGGCCAGAGAAGACAAGGTCTAATTGTTGTATCTCCTCCCCCAGAACAGTTCTACCTCTAATCTCACATCGGTATATACCTAGCTTCCTCGAATCAGACTTGTGTGGTCCTAAAAGTATGAGTGACTGGTAAATGAATAGATCTGGTGAAGGAATAATTATGTACAGAGGTTTAGTGGATGGGGTGTGATGAGCGCTCCAGGTTATAGCTGTGAGGCATAAGTAGAGGAGGGTGCTCTGAATTATACAAGGCACCACAGGGATGGCACCCCAAATGGGCTGCATAGAGGGGTTATAGTGCAAAGAATACTTGGGCTTGCAGTCAAGAGAGACCCGAGTTCAAATCCTGGTGCTGACACTTGGGTATATAACTGGGGGGGGGGGAGTCACTTAACTTCCTCTAAATCTCATCTGTAAGATGGGGATGATAATACGGTGGTGACCTAGCCCACCAGGTTGTTGTGAGGCTCATGACTACAGAAAGGGCTTTGTAAACCTTAAGCACTACATCAAGATTAGTAATTATTCTCCTAGGGAATGGGGAGCTCTGGGATTGTCCGAGTAGAATGTAAGCTCTGTGAGAGCAGGACGGTATCATTTTTGCCTTTGTACCCCCAGTGCCTGGTACCTAGGAGATGCTTAATAAATGTTTTTTGATATTGAAGTTGTCAGGCTGTAGGATTGAGGGGAGCTGGAGGGGACTGGCCAGTGTTGTCAGCATCCCAGGGCCATGAGAAACACAGAAAAGAATGTTCTGGGACTTAGAGCTGATTCTAAGGAAGCAGGGAGCCTCGGGTCTCGCAGCATGGATGGTTTCCTTGGGACTGCTTGCTTTCTGGTGGTGGGGCTTTGTAGGAGGAGGTGGTCCCCAGGTGTGGGATTTATCAGCTTCTATTTGTTCACATCCCGTCTGCCCATCTCTTTCTTGGTCCTGAACATCTGCTACCCAGTTCACTTGTTCATTGGTTTCTCTTCTGTTTGGGCATCTTGGCTCCAGGGTGATGGTTGTCATAGAAACATGTGGGTGGCCAGGGTGCCCTCCTACCCTCCATCGGGGCAGTGTGGGCTAGGATAGGAACACTGTTTCATTCTGGCCTCCCCCCTCTCCACCTTCCTCCCCCTGCAGACATTCTCTGTCCTGGGAATGGATACATCACTCACTAGCAACCCACAGCAAAGTCCCAGTGCCCTCAGAAATGGGACCCTGGTGTCTGGTGTCTCCAGTTGATGATGCAACGTCCCTCTCTCCTCTCGACAGTGCCCTCTTCTTGTCCAGGAGCTGGGGAAGGGAAGGACAGCTGAGAGTTGAGTGCTGTGCCCATAGACCTGATTTGGGGGAGCTGTCTGCTCTCTTTGACCTGACCTGAAGTGAAGCTTCATCCCTTTTTTCCCTCCCTACCCCCACCCCCCAGGCTGCTTTGAGGTGGTAGAGCAATGTGTCTTGCCTCTTTCCTCTTTATCTGTTATAAACCATGCTAAACCAGTACTTTCGTCCCCAAGCCCTGGGGACCCAAACCAGAGTATGTTTTGAACCAGGCTTTATTTTTTTCCCCTTTAGAAAAAGAACTCTAGCTAAGTAGTTTCTGTAGGAATGTGAGCTAGGGTACCATGTTGTTCTCTCTTGGGACTGTCATGCCCAGATGGGGACTATGCCCTGGGGGTGTGAGTGTGCCAAGAATCTGTGGAGCAGAAGAATTTAGAGAACCAGTCCATTATGATTGGCACAGATGCCAAGAGTGAGGATATCCTGAGTGGAAACTTATGGAGGAAGGGATGTTCATAGGGTAGTACCAATGAAATACCGAGTAGTTGGGATATTGGGGGGCAGGAGGCTTATAGCATATTAGCATAACATGAGGGTACATTTTAGGGTGATAGTGCTATGAGAATGTTTATTGAGTGAAGAAAGAGAGAAGGCAGGGTGGGATAGAATCCCTTGAGTGAAGGTTGGGATGAGTGCCATGCTGTGCTCTTGCCCCGCAGAGCCCTGGAGTAAAGGCTGTGGTTATCCTACAGCCTCTCGGCTTACGCTGTATATTTTATAAAGGTACTAGAGCAGCTGGGGCTGGATTTCACCTCTTCACTGTTTGCCTGGGACTAAACAGGTATTGGATTTCTATGCCTGGGCCATGGTGGGCATGCAGGTAGAGTGGGGGCTTGGGTAGCCATTCTGGAGGGAGGGAGTCTGAGGTTGGTTGCTGTATCACCCAGATTTCCTTGTCTTTTTTTTTTTTGTTTTCCTTCCTTCTCTTCTTCTGTTTGCAGTGCGATTGACCCTGGGAAGATAGAGAAGATGTAGAAGTCCCATTAGGAGTGTAGAGTAGTCAGCGTGGTGAGGTGGCTAGAAAGCCAGCCTTGGAGTCAGGCAGTCATGGGAGTCTCACCTCTGAACACTTACTAGCTGGGTGACTGAAACCTTTCAGTGCCCTGGGCAACTCTAAGATGCTGAGTTGGAAAGCTGGTGCTGAGCTGGGAATTCCTTATATCGATTAAAATCACAGGTCTGGAAATTTTTTTTTTTTTACCAAATATTAGTTTCTGGGGATTCAAGATAGCCTCCAATGTCCTTCCTGGCCCTAAATCTAAGGTTTTAGGATCTCTTCTGGGCACATAGGACCTGGTTGCTTGGGCAAGAGGAATTAGACCACCATGGGTTCTCTGAATCCATGGATGTGGGTGGATGAGTCTGCCTGGTGTGATAATGAAGAGCCCTGGATTTGGACTCTTAAGAACCTGGATTCCTATCCTAGCTCCCTTAATTATTACTTGTGTGACCTTGGGAAAGTCTTGTCCTCTTGCTGGGCCTCTGTCTTCTTATTTATTAGATTAGAAGTTAAGACCAGGGAATTAAAATATTCTTACTAGTGTTCTTTTTTGGTCTGAACCCATGATTTCATTCAGCTCTGATATTTTCTGATCCTGTAATCAGGAGTTGGGCCCCTTCCCCTTTTTTCTCTTCAGTCTCCTTGTGGCATCAGAGGCTTGTCATGGATTAGTTTGGTGGTGGGAAGTGGAGTCTTTGTGGGTTGTCCAATGAGCATGGAATCGGGTATATTAAGTTCCTGGCCTTTATAGAGATTTATATGGTTGCTTCTTGACAGGGGCAAATATGGGGTAAGGGACCTCCTAATTTGATCCTATAGCTCAAGGGAAGATGTCTTATTCAGCTGTTTAACTATAGGAGGGGTTTAAAACTAGGCCCCATGATGGAGGGCCGGGAGGATGGTATTGGACCCTTACCCCTTTGGGACAAGCATAATGACTGTGAAGCCACCTTCTCCAATAGAACCAGGTTGGTCATACCTTTCCCGGCAGGAGTGTGATAACTGCAGACTGCAGAACAACCTTGAAAGTTAGTTACATGTGGAATTTATTATGTACTTTGAAAGAAGAGTAAGTTGTACATAATAGAGATTTAAAGTTTAATGTATGATTCACTTCTGTTCTCCCACATCTATGGAAATGCACATTTCATTTGGTGTTTGTTCGGGATAAAAATTTAAAAAACAAAAAGCAAATTACAGGCAGCTTCTGAGAGGTCATCTAACTTGAAAGTGAGGTAGGAAGAGGGATGCTGTCTTTGCTTTCGTGCCTACAGTCCTGTCGTGGTTTGTAAGCAGCACGTGGGATTCTTCTCCATCTCTCTAGGCCTGTTATGCTGGGGCAGCTAGTGAGGGGTGTGCTTTGGGCAACCCCAGCTGTGGCAGTGAGGAATGTTCCTGTCCTGTGCTTCTCTGGAGTCTGACAGCCAGACAGGGCCTTGGCCTCACCTGCTACTCTGCCATCTTCCCCAGCCTGAATATCTGTCACTGGGGGTAGGGTGTGGTGGGCCAGTAGGGAAGGGCCAGCTTACATATGTGTGCATGAGTGTGGATCAATCTGTGATTGTACACTCAGGCCTGTGCTCCCATTTGGGTCTGCCTGTCACTGTTTGAGGCTGGGATGGGCCAGTTGTGATGTGTTGGCTACAAGAAGAGATGAGAGTGCCTCTGCACTGGCCCAGCTGGCCCTTGGGCCTGAAAGGGGATCTGTCTGGGTGGTGCCAGCAGAAAGTCTCCGCCCCCTTCAAGTTGGCCTGAGTAGCCCCCATGACATTTGTGTCCCTTGTGGCATCTCTGAGAGCTGTTTTC